AAGAGGAATGGCTCTTTCAAGTTTTTAATCAGTTTGAAGAAGAGAAGACATCAAAGAGTGCTACTTGGTCCTTTCTAAAGAGTGTGTGTGTGTGTGTGTGTGTGTGTAATATATACTATATATACATACATTATTATACACACATATATGTATACATATATATATATACATGTGTACCATATATATGTATGTGTGTATATACACACATACATACATATATACCACATATATGTGTATATATATTATTGTGTGTATATATATGTGTATATATGTATATGTATATTTTTTGATATGAAGTACATTGATAGATTTTTTTCTGTGGCCCGTAGATGGCTTAGGACTCCATAAATATTAAATTGACCAGCCAAACAACCTCTTTCTATCCTCAAAGAACTTAAGATATACTGAAATAAGGTTGATACTATGAATCTTTATCTTTTAAATATTTTATTGTCCTTTATTTATGGGAAACAAAATCTCAAGAATTCCCATCAAGGATCCTGACCTGCGGTGGTTTTTCACGGATGTAACTTCATTTACAAACCAATGAGAAGATTCCCTGGAGTTATTACCTGAGTGATACTAATGGCTTGTAAATGGCACCTTTAAAAAAAAGAATCAACTACTAAAAATAATGCCAATTTGACCATTCTTCAAATGAGTCATTTGGAGAACGCTGGCTATCTGGTGGAGATGGTCCCAAATGGGTGTATAGAATGTCTCCTGAGCAGGGGAGAAGGGAACCGGTCCTCTGGGACAGGAGTTTGCCATTTGTTCATCATAGGATTAAAGCCACAATTCAATTACATGAGATTTTCAGCTACAATTCCCCTGGTTGAGTGGCTTTTCTGTTTCAGAAGTAAGCAGGACCCTCTCTACCCCACCTCCCGTTACTGTCAATGTGTGTCTAAAACCTCACTAAATATACCAGGGAGCACATGGGATATTTTAGTCTCGGGATATGATTTATATTGAGACAGGAGCAGTCCTGGGGTCTTGGGGGACTGGAGATGCATTAAGCCCTGCACACTTAAGGGTGATCTTTGCCTTCCAGAGAGGCCACATGGTGCTGCGTGGGCTCCTGCAGCCTGGGTGAGCTCTTGGCTTCCTCCTGACCTGCAGTAAACCCACTCTCCTTGCTGGAGATGCTTCAGAAATAAACAAAATGCACTTGTTTGAATCAATATTGGGCATAAATGCTGCTGGGTTTTATGTCACTCTCTGATAGAAGAGGCTATTCTCTGGTTCCACGGGGGTTGGGTGACAGGAAATTTAAGACTAAATGGGCTGGAAGTTTAATCCTGGAGGCACTTAGTCTCCTGACTGTTGCTTGGCTCTCAGAGCACCTCCGTCAACAGGAAGAGGTGGTGTCCTCCCCGAGCGCTGAGCCTTTCTCAGGAGCTGCCCCTTCCTGCCTGTTCCTTCCTCCTAGAATGTCCTTTCTTCCACTGCCAGCTGCCCAGGTGCAATCCCTTCTTTAAGAACCAGCCACAGTATCCCACAGGGCTACAAGCCTCACTTCTACCCCAGGAGAACCATAGAATTGAGACCACTGGCTGGGTGCTGTGGCCCATGCCTGTAATCCCAGTGACCTGGGAGGCCGAGGCAGGAGGATGGTGAGTTCAAAGCCAGCCTCAGCAACTTAGCAAGGCCCTAAGCAACTCAGAGAGACCTTGTCTCTAAATGAAATACAAAAGGGGCTGGGGATGTGGCTCAGAGGTTAAGTGTCCTTGGGTTCAATTTCTGGTACCCCACCCCCCCAAAAAAAAATTGAGATCACTGGAAAGGCTCCTGGGTCCAACACTCCACCCGTCCTTTGTAGGTGGCCAAGCACTTGGAAGACACCCAGGTGAGTTTGGAGTGAAGGGAAATGGAGACAGGGTAGGCTCTTCAAGACCAGGATGTGGTGTTGGGGGACCTGGGAGAGAGTAGTGGCAGTTCCTGGGTGAGCTTGCACCAGGCCACACCAGCTCAGCCCTTCCCATCTTTTCCATCCCCCCCCCCCAGTGTCTTTCCATCACTTAGCTACTGATTGTGCCCTGTGGCTTGACCTTGAGATAAAGGAGTCCCACCACAGCTTTTAATCTGCTTCCCAAATGCTCTTTTTTTTTTTTAATTCTTTAAAATTTGTTGTAATTTGTTCTACATGATAGAAGAATGCATTTCAAAGCATTGTACCCAAATGGAGGACAACTTTTCTGGTTGTGCACGATGCAGAGTCCCACCATATGTGCCGTCATACCTGTACCTAGTGTACTGATGTCCATCTCATTCCACCATCTTTCCTGCCCCCTCCCATCCCTTCGCCTTTCTTCATTTTGCCCCAAGTTTCATAGCTAAACTGTGGAACCAACCTAGATGCCCTTCAACAGATGAATGGATAAAGAAACTGTGGCGTATCTACACAATGGAATCTTACTCAGCATTAAAAGAGAATAAAATTATGGCATTTGCAGGTAAATGCATGGAACTGGAGAATATCATGCTAAGGTAAGTGAGCCAATCCCAAAGAAACAAAGGCTGAATGTTCTCTCTGATAAGTGGATGCTGATCCATAATGGGGGAGGGGGGCTGGGGAGAATGAAGGAACTTCCCAAACGCTCTTTGCCTCTGCTCTGGTCCTGGGGCTTTTATCTTAAAAAAGAAAAAAAGAAAAATCACATTGGTCCTCTTTGGTACCTTTCTTCATTAATTCTGCAATCCACCTCCTGCCAAAGAAGGTCATACAGTAGCTAGGTATGTTTTCCTGGAGGGCTAGTTGATCACGTTTATCCTTGCTGTTCCTTAACTCTAAAGTGTGGGTGACCACCAGGATTTTTTGGAGAATTCCCTGATGTCACCAAGTGCACGCTTTTATCCTTCCTAGTTTTTTCAACTAACTGGAACTCTCAACCTTTTGGGGGATCATGGATCTGTTTGAGAATCTGATGAAAGCTCTGGTTTTTCCTTCCAGAAAAAGATGCATAAACACATACAAACATTTTCATACCATTTCAGGAACTTCTAGGATCTCTAGGTTCCAAAAAAGAGCCCTTTGGGGGTGGCTGTGATCCCCAGGCTAACTGCCCCGCCCTCCACCATAGCCTATTTCTGCAAAGCACCTAACAAGGGACCCTCTTCTCAGGAGGGGCTGAACAAACACTATTTAATCTGCTGGTTCCCTAAGTTGCAATCAGAAATACTCTGTGCCTGGAGGAAATCTAGCTGTAATTTTTCCTTATATTTGGTTTTGAGAAGCTGTCATGTCCAAGTGACAGAAATACCTCTGAGCAGAGAGCCCAGTCCTTGACTGACGTGCTTCCAGCTGGCCTGCCATACCTTGTTTGAACAAATTTGGCCTTTTCAAAAAAATCTTCCCTTTCTTGTTGGCCTCTACCCCGCTATCCTGTGTGTGCGGCTGCCCAGCCAGGCGACGAGTTCTGCTGACATCTCTGTCTTCGCTCTCTGTATGGAATTTACAGCAATTATCCTTTGGTTGGTCCCCGTGTCTGTATTTTGGCAGGCCGCCCTGCCTTCCGTGTGATAAGCGCTTTGCAGACAGGGCAGCCGAAGCTCTGCCAAAGCCTAATGTCATCCCTTGTCAGATGTCGTCTGGGTCCAGGGGTGACCAACACCCCCCCACCCCGCATCTGCTGGTTCACGCTCCCTTTGCACTGTGTAAAGCACATAATGATGTGCAAGGCTGGCTGGGATCCAGCTCGTTTGAACCAGGGTGGCCGTGATCCTGGAGAAATCAGGCACCTCGGAGTGTGTTTTTATGGCCTGCGCTACCTGGATTGGTTTATCTGGCTGTGTTCTGCAAGTAAATGAACTGGATAATCGCCATATTTCTATTCCACTCCGTGCTGTGTCGCCTGTGCCTCTGGAAACAAAAGTTTTCTCTACGACGAAGTCACTTCTCAAGAACAATTATGCCCCCTGGGGGTGAATATCTTTGTCGATGTGTGCCAAAGTATGACTAAACAAATTGGCTTGAAAACACCTTTCCTCCATTTAATTCTCATTTGATAGTTCTGAAGATCAATGAGGACAGAGACAAAATCCTCTAAATACACAGAAACAAAAAGCAAACCCAAACCCCTCCTCTCCCCCACCAGAACCTCTCTCACTGACGGCGACTCTGTGATCCGGGTATTATTTGCTTATTCTATGTCTACATTTTTAACATCTGCATCAGTGATTTTGGGGTTGGGCCCTGCTTCTCAAACTTTCATGTATACTCACTCGATCAAGCTGGAGATCTTTTTAAAAACAGATTCTGATTTGCTGGGTCTGGGGTGGGGGCCTGAGGGTCTGCATTTCTACAAGGTCCCAGGTCTTGTCACTACTGTGGTTCTTGGACCAGTCTTGGAGAAGTGTGACAGTAGCCGTCTGTAGGATACCTGCATATAACCACCAAGCCAACCCTGATACCAACCCAGTGACCCCTTTTAGCCATCTGCTTGTCCTGCTGTCTGTCATAACCTGTTTCTATTTTCTAACAGTAAATGTTTAGCAGAAAGGCTCTAGTGTTAAGAGCAAATAGATTTCGGTGCAATCAAGGCAGAATCCACCTAAGTACAAACTATTGCCCACAAAGGAACCTCTTTGCCTGCAAGTCCTCATTGGCTTCTCACTAGTTATTTAAAGTTCTAAGAAGAAAATTGTTCATCACTCAAAATTTAGAACAGCCTAGAAAAGTGCAATGAATGTAAATTTTCTGAGTCTTGAGTACTTGAGACAGCAAGGAGCCCATTTTTGGAGCTCAAGTTTAAGATAAGGAAAACTTTAATCATATCCATTCACTCCTGTTCAGTGTTCTTGTTTGTTTATTTGTTTTATGACTCTTCAAAAACCACCTGAACACTTCTGGAATGAATTGGGTATAGATTAAGAAATTACTTACGTAAACATTTATTCTTCTTGCCCTGGATCCTGCTATGTATGAAAGACTCGTGGCAGTGGCTTTGCTTCTTCGTTAATAAAGCAAGCCATTAACCTCTGTGGGCTCCAGCTCCAAAGCCGGATAATGAAGGGCTGGACAGGGTGAGCCTGAGCTCTCAGACAGTCTGCCATTCTGAACGGGGAGAAGCAGAAGCAGTCAACATTCTGGCTGTTCGTGGCTTTTATTAGCTCTTCCTCTCTCATGGCCAAGCAGAGAAGGCCCCCAGCTTTCTGTGTGGGTGTTTCATGAATGCAGTGTGGTAAGTGAGGAAAGGACTATTCCCTGTGTTTCTTGAAGCCCAGCCTGTGGACTTTCCCTCCTCCCCTGGAGGGTTCCAGAGGGGAGGGAACAGGGCCTGGCAGGTGTGCACAGAGTTGCACAGATCCAATCTTTAGTGCTCTTGAAACAAAAATGGGGGTGGGGAGGGGATGGAAAGAGAGAAGGAGAGAAAGAAGGAGAGAGAGAGAATGGGAGCAATACAGCCAGTCCTCACTCCCGGGGTCCGGTGGGCAGGAAACGAAGCAGAGCTGCTGGGAGCCTGTGATGGATGGCCGGAGGGGCCTCTCCTGTCCTTGTGCGGCATCCATACACATTGGATGGGCTTTGGAAGTCCCCATCTGGAAACCACAGGGTCTGGGCTTAGATTCTAAATCAAGTATTTCTTTCTTCACTGCCTTTGGTGTCTGTGAAGTGCTTAAGTACCCCAGGAAAAGAGGCTCCTAGTTTATACTGAGGTCAGTAGAGCGTGAGCCCTGTTCCGGCTTCTAGGCAAATGGCCTTGCACTTCAGGAGACAGGAAGTACAGATATACATAGCTCCCCTCCCTCTTCTCACAGGTGACTAAAAGCGAGGTGCTCCTCTCCTGTTGTTTTGAAGGCTGCTGTCTAGTTGAGTTGCTTCTGTAGCAGGAACAGTCAGTGTCATTAGTCCCCCCTGCACGGTGTGGGCTGAAGAACACGGAACTGACTTGATGGATCACGTTGCCACGTCAGGACGGAGCCTCCGGAGGCAGGTGGGTGAGTGGGTTGGTGAAACACTTTGGAGACTTAATACATTTGTGCAGTTATCAAGCAGAACCGCCCTTGGGAGATGGATGGCATTCGGCTCAGCTTGAATGTGAGGCCTGGGGTAGATGGGAAGGGCGGGGGCGGCACCCACGGGGGAGGACGCCTGGCCTTAGCCACGGCACAGCTGCAGGTGCCAGACGAGAGGGGGTAGCCCACTTTACAGTGGTGCGAGGTCCTGTTGGGGCAGGACACCAGGATGGAAAAGGGCTTGGAAATCATGCCTTTTAAGGAAGGGAGCCCTTGAAACGGTAAGGGGAGATGGCTAGAGCAGAGGAAGGGAGGTCCTGGGGAATGACATCGACCACATTATGTCATGTTCACGTGCATAGATGTCTCAATGCCCTGTTATGTATAATTAAAAAAGACCCATCAAAAATCAATTAAAAAACTAAACAAACAAACAAACAACAACAACCAAGAAGAGATCAAAGACCAAGTATATATAGGGCCCCCCAAAATTTCTGCTCTTGTCTGGGTCCTGTTTGTTGTCTTTAACTCTTGGAAGGCTGTTGCAGGGTCGGGGTTTGGAATTATTCTGTGCGGCTTCCAAGGAAGAACTGGAGTCAATTTTGGCTCCATTTGAGGGTTGAAACAGAACTGGCAGCTTCTTCTTGGGAAAGTGAATTTCTCCTCTTGCCATAGTTCAAGCCGTTGTGTGGACTGGGATGTTTGTGGCCGGCAGGACCCCCAGGAGCCCTTCGCAGGCCACCAGGAAAAGATCCCATAGCTTCTCATAAATTCCTTCCCCATCTCTGATAAGAAGCCAGGGACAATATCTGGTCTTTCTGAAACTGGGTATCTTTCCCTGAGCAGAACTGAGTTTCCTGTTGGAAAGGGAGTCATAATGGAATTGGCTTTTCCTCTCCCTTTAAGGAATAAGAGGATTAAAAATCTTAGCTTCTGTGTAGTTGTGGAAGAGGAGAAAGAACACAGAACTCAATCTAGAGTGGGATCCTGGCTCAAATATTTACTTGCTATGTGATCTTGGGCAGAGCATCCAATTTTTAATTAACAAAGTGGGGTGGAGGATGTCACCTTTGCAGGCTTGTTATAGGCATTAAACCAGATGATAAATGAGTGTTGCCTGTGACAGGGCCTGGTGCACAGTAGTCATTCAATAAACAGAAGTTACTCTCCCTAGTCTCGAAGACAATTAAAAAGAGCAAAGCCAGGCAATAAAATGATTTAAGGACAACGTAGGTTCAGAAACGTGGAAACCCTCTGTATTAGTTTCCTCACAGTGCTGTACAAAACGACCCCACACTGGGTGACTTAACCCAGTGAAGTTTATTCTCTCATTCTGGAGGACAGAGCCTGACCTTAAGGCATGGCTAGGGCTGCAGCCCTCCTAAGGAGTAAGGGCAAGTCCCTCTGTGCCTCTCTCAGTTTCTGATGGCTCCCAGCTGTCCTTGGCTCATGGCCGAATCCCTCCCATCTGTGCCTCGTCTTCACATTTCTCCACTATGTCTGTATCTTCTCTTCTTTAACTCCTTCAAGGACATTTGTCATTGAATTTAGGGCTCACCTGATAAATCCAGGATGACCTCACCTCAGGATCCTTAATGCATCTGCAAAGACCTCTTTTTAGACCCTCTTTCTAAATAAGGTCACATATAGAGGTACCCAGGATTAAGAATTGGAATACACACCCACACACACATAAATATATATATATGTATATCCTCCAATAGCTTTTTATTGTGTGTGTAGACTGTAAAAGAGACTCCCTGGCCTGTCCAGTGGTGGGCTGGCAAATAGAAAGGGTGGCATTTGGTTGGGACAAACGTGAACCATTGACCAGTGTGTTCTTGGTGAGATTACCCTTTCGACATATATGCTGTCACTTTTCTCCCTATGGAGAGTTCGGCTTCCTCCTCTACAGGCCCCCTCATCTACCCACTCAGGTTGGCTTAGACAGCTTTCTTAAATGTTTACTGGTGATCTGGATGAAGAGGGCTGTGAGGGTGAAACTGGTTTCATTCTGCTCTATATCCTTAGCTGTCTGTATACGTGGGACAAATCTGGAAATGACAATCTTTAAACAAAGGTAAGCAAGCTCAGTTGTCCATCCCCCCCAAAGCTACTTTGCTCATATTGACTGATTTTCTCCACAGTCAGATGCAGTGTAGTCTTGAACTCAATTCTAAGTGTACCTGGAAGACCCAGTTGGAGTCTAAGTTGTGTCCACCTCTGGTGGTTTAGAAAAGACTGGACCAGCCTGCCAAATGGGAGTGGCAAGGTCACAAGGAAGGGCCTGTGGGGTTTATTTGCCTAAAGGACCCAGGGCAGCCTAGTAGAAGAGGAGATAGTATAAAGGATCCAACCCTACAACTTCAGAGGAGAGGCAGGATTCTGAGCTCTGCAGAACATCCCACCCTCAAATCTGCCTGTGGTCCATTGCTGAGTCTTAGGAGGAAGGTGAACTGGAAGTTAAAAACTGCAACAGTGATATCACCACTACTCTGTGAGATATTGTAGCACAATCAATGCAACTTTCTTATCTCTTGGCCAGAGAATAATAGAAACAAGGGGGTAAAAAAAAGAGAAGCATAGCTCAGCTCTGGCTGCCCAGTGGCAGCTCTGGAAATGCCTAGCTGGGAGGAGACAGAGGTTTGGTGGCTGTGGTTCTGATCAGTGGAAATGACAGCTGTGTTTAATAGGGTACGATACCATGTAGGGTCATCAGTTTGCTGCAGAGACAACAGTGCTGCCTTGTAGCTACCTTTGGGTAGCAGAATAGACTCTCCTGGTGGGAAATTTCACTATCCATTTAACAGATTTGCTGGGCACCCACCATATGCCAGCACAATACTAGGGTAACCCAAATGGTGGGCAAAACCCATAGTGATATTCACTTTGTGAAGCTCTTCAGGCAATGGGGCTTTGTATGAGCAGACAGAACAAACAGACATGGAACTGGATGCATATTTAAAAACATGATGTCACCTAATTTTCAGTGTCAGATGAAATTTGGAAACTGGGATGCCATATAATCATAGAGTTAGTAGGTACGCTGAAGTTTAGAGTCTAGCCCGGAGATCTGCAAAGACCTCCTCCACATCTGAAAATCTTATTTTTATTTCAATTGATAAAATTGCTTATATTAATTATATACAATGCACTGTGTTTTCTTTCTTTTTAAAAATCATTATTATTTTTTATTTGTTCTCTTTGGTTGTACATGACAGCATAATGCGCAAGGCACTGTTTTGAAATATGTCTACATATGGAATGGCTAAATTGAATATTAATATAAGCATTATGTCACATCTTTCTTCTGTTTCTTCTTTCTTATTTGATGTGAGATTCCTTAAAATCTACCCCTTTAGCAATTTTCAAGAATACAATGTATGAACAATAAAAGACTCTAAAAGGAGCTCTGATTAAAAAGAACAAACCTATGGCATTACAGTATCTGACTTCAAAATGTACTACAAAGTTACAGTAATCAAAACAGCAGAGTTCTGGCATAAAAACGGATACACAGACCAATGGAACAGAACGGAGAATCCAGAAATAAATCCATATGTTTACAGCCAACTAATTTTCAGCAAGGCAGGAAGAATACATATTGAAGAAAGGACAGTCTCTTCACAAACTGGTGCTGAAAAACTGAATATCTGTCTGCATCTCTCACCATATACAAAAATCAACTCAAAATGGACAAAAGATGTAAGTGTAAGATCCCAAACTATGGAACTCCTAGAAGAAAACAGGACACACTTCAGGACATTGGTTGCAGAATAGTTTTTTTTTTTTTTTTGGGCTATGATACCCAAAACAATGAGAGCAAAAGCAAAACTGTCAAATGGGATTGCATCAAACTCAACAGCTTCTGTACAGCAGAGCAAACAATCAGTGGAGTGGAGACAGCCTACTGGATGGGAGAAAATGACTGCAAACTATTCCTCTGACAAAGGATTGATTAATTTCCAAAATATATAAGGAACTCAAACAAATCAACAGCAAAATGAAACCAAAACCAAAACCAAAACAACTAACATCAAAACCCAAATAAAATAAGACACAAAGAATGTGATTCAATGGGCTGGGGATGTGGCTCAAGCGATAATGCACTCGCCTGGCATGCGTGCGGCCCGGATTCGATCCTCAGCACCACGTACAAACAAAGATGTTGTGTCCGCCGATAATTAAAAAATAAATATTAAAAAAAAAAGAATGTGATTCAAAATTGGGTGGTGACCTGAATAGACAAGCAAAACACAACTACATGAAAAAATGCTCAACATCACTAATTGTCAGGGGCCTGCAAATGAAAACCACAATGAGAGAGTACCTCTCCCTAGTTAGAATGGTTATTAATGAAAAATAAAAAAAAGATTAAAAAAATTCTGGTGAGGTTTCAGAGAAAGGGAAATTCTTATATACTGTTGGTAGAAACATAAGTTAGTATGGCCATTGTGGAAAACAGTATGGCGGTTCCTCCAAAAACTGGAAATAGAACTACATGTGATTCAGCAATCACTACTTGGTGTATATCCAAAGGAACTGAAATAATTATGCCAAAGAGAGATCTGCACTCCATGTTTATTACAGCACTATTCACAATAACCAAGTAATGGATTCAACCTAGGTGTCCATTGGTGGATAAGTAAAGAAAATGTGGCATATGTACACAATGGAATATTGTTCAGCCACAAAAAAGAACAAAATTATGTCACGGGTGGCACCTTGGATGGAACTGGAAGAAAGACCCTGTGCATAGGAAGACAAAGGCTGCATTTTCTCATTTCCAGGTGGGAGCTAAAAGTTGATGTGGAAGAAGTAGGGAAATAGAATAGTGGTTACCAGAGCCTGGGGAAGGTGTGGGGGAGGGAGGAATGGAGAGAGACTGGGTACATGGGTGCAGGTGGATTGGAGGAAACAGTTCGAGTGGTCTGTAGCATGGTAGGGTAACTATGGCTGATGACACTTAAATGAGTAT